TTTGCCCACAATTGAATTTTTTTTGCATTACTTTGAAATTTTCTAAAATATTGCAGAAATATACTGTCTATCTTAAATACTGATTTTTGGCCCCCAATTCAGTTCTGAGGCTGAAGTGAGAACCTTGCTCTCCTGACCTTAATTTCAGTTCTGTAAAATCCAGTTGTGGTCCGCTCACCATCCTCCTTGGCCCCAGAAGTGGCTCCCCGATATTGTCAGGATATGGGCAAAACTCTATGTTCTCTAGGTCCTCATGGTTGGTTGGGTCTCTGTCCACCTCTTTGTTCCAGTCACTAATGGTCAGATGGAACACATCCATGTAGCAATAAGGATTGTTAGAATATTGAAAATACTTCCTCATCTCAAGCACACCTACACCAAATGTCCCCTCACATCCTCCCTCCTCCTGTAGGACTGTCAGAAACCCCCACAATTCAGCAACCAAAGGACCAATGTCTGACTAACTTGATTCCCTAGGCTCTGCCCATGCAGTATTTTCAATAGTCCCCTGTCCAGCTTCATCCTTTGCCAGGCTCCTCTCCCTGCTCCAGCCACACCAGGCTTTGCCCTGTCTCTCTGAATAATGCTGTTCCCTCTGCCTGGCACTTGCTACCTTCCCCTCTCTGCCCAGTTATCTCTGACTCATCCTTCAGATCTCCCCCAAGTGTCACTACTGCAAGGAGTTATCATAAGAGAGGGTCTATTATAAAAGCCAGTTTGGTTCTGTGTTTTGCACTCCTTAGCCATGTGATGCCCTATGCCACCTTGGGACTCTGCAGAGAGTCCCCACCAGCTAGAAGGCCCTCACCAGAAGCAGCACCTTGATTTTGGACTTCCCAGCCTCCAGAACTGTCACAGGCTTTTCTGACTTCCTTTCGAATGACTCTCTTCATGCTGTGTGCTACTTCTGTTGTTCTAATCACAGTTGTAATTTTACATTGTTTGTGTGATTTTTTAAAAATAAGTTTTCCAGTGCTAAACCATAGGCTTCATGAAAATAGAGAAACTGGGCCTGTCTTTGTTTCATCTCCAGTGCCTATCAAAGTACTGATACATAGACACACACTAGGTCTGTTCCCTTGAGAAGGGGAGTGGAGGGGATGCATAGGAGCCATTTATAGAATATGGCTTAAGTCAGACAAGCAAAATACATCCTACTTCAAGATCATGGTGCCTAAAATCACACCACCAGTATGATTCTGTAAGGCTGGACATTTTTGGTGAATTACCAGATTAAGCCCAAAGCCCCATTTTCCATATGGAGAAATCAAAGCCCAGGGAGATGAAATGAGTTATCCGAGGCCATACAGTAACTAGTGACAGAACCAGGGTTCTTGACTCCTATTCCAGTGCTTTTTCCACTCCACCCTCTGCTACTCTCTCTTCATCCCAGGAATTACTTCCATGTCCAAAGTTCTCTACTGTAAATATTCTTCCTTCTCATTCCCTTTCTACAGTCTTCTGTAGTCTATTAGACAGTAATGGAGTTGAGAGCCATGGAGAAGAGAAATCTATGCAGCCAATGAGGAACAGATGTAAGATCCTTTAACTAAAGGTCCTCCACCTCACCATGATACCCAGAAGGAATTAGCTTAAGTCTGTTCTGCTACAAAACACTTGAACTCAGTCAATGACAACCTACTGATGCGAGGCCAAGTGTAATCTTCTTAGAGTGACATGACAGGTCTTGGGTGATCTGGCCCTTGCTCTATTTTCACCCCATCTCTTACTGTTGCAACTCATGTCCTGCATTGCTGTCATTCTAGACTGGCCTTAACCCTATTTTCACCCCTCTGATCCTTTATGCATGGAACTTCTACTTTCTAAAAGACCCTTCTCTTAATCTATCAGGCCAATTAACAGCCCTCAGTCCTTTTGAGGCCTGCCTCATGCATCCCCTTTTCCAGGAAGCTCTTCCAACCTTCCCTTAAATTAGGTTAGACTGGGTTGCAAGCCTACCGAACCATGACTCCTGGCCTCTCACTACTCAACCATGAGATTCCTGAGGACAGAGACCTTGCCTTGGGCACTGCTGTACCTCTCATGATGAATTATGTGATGCTTATGAAGTATCTACCATGTGTGGCTGCCATGTTGCACATTTGCCCCCTCTGAAACTTATGTTGAAACCCAATCACCAATGTCACATTATGAAGAGGTGGAACTTTTAAGAGGTAATTGGGTCATGAGGGCTATGCCTTCATAAATGGATTAATCCACTCAAGGATTAATGAATAAAATTGATTGATGGGTTATCACAGGAGTGGGTTGGTTATCACAGGAGTGGGTTGGTTATCACAAGAGTGTGTCTATTATAAAAGCCAGTTTTGTTCTCTCTCATGCAATTCCTATCCAAGTGATGCCCTGTGCCACCTCAGGACTTTGCAGAGTCTCCACCAGCAAGAAGGCCCTCACCAGATGCAACCCGTTGATTTTGAACTTCCCAGCCTCCAAAATTGAAAGAAATAAATTTGTGGTTTTTTTTAATAAATGACCCAGTCTCAGGTATTCAGTTATAACAACAGAAAATAGACTAAGACACTGGTGATACAATGATGAATAGAGGTCTCTCTTCTTGTGGAGTTTACTTTCCAGTGGGTGAGACAGAGAGTAAATATCTTAGTTAATTAGTTAGTTCATTTGTTCACTCATTAAATTATAAATTGTTATTAGTGTTTAAAATAAATAGTGTAATGACAGAAAGTAATGACAGCAAATAATGGGGAGGAGGGTGAGCAATGCTGGATAGAGTCATCAGCGAGGCCTCTCTCAACAGATGAGATCTAGGCTGAGACCTGAAGTTTAGAAAGGAGCCAGCCATGAGACCAACTAGGCAGAGGAAATGCACCGGCAAATACCCTAAAAAGAAAGAGCTTGTTGAGTCTTAGGCAGAGTAAAAAAGGCTCAGTGAGCTGGGGGCTGATGAGATGAGGTTCAAGAGGAAGGCAGGAACCATATCACACAGCAACTCAGATAAGTGCAACAAGAAGCCATTAAAGAACTTTGATCTGGCTGCTGTGTGAAGAATGAATTTGGAGGATACAAAGCTAGTAGTAGGGGCATTAATTAGTTGACTATTCCTTGAAATATCTGGGCACCCCATAGCCCAGTCGAGTTGACACATAAAAATTAATCATCACCTTCATCTTAGAATACCATTTCTTCTCCTTCCATATATCAAAAGTCAAGCCATCCTTCAAGGCCCAGTAAACAACCACCTCTTCCTTGAAGTCTTCCACCACACTCCTTTTCCCTCTGAGTTCTACATCATTTTTAAACTTTACTTATAGTCAACCACAGAGTCTCTGGGTAGATGTCTGTGTGTAACTTCTTTGCCAGTGCATTCTTCCATGAACTCTTCTGATGATGTTTCATTGATTAATGCTTTTATTGGCATATTCTTTCTTCCATACATGCTCCATCTAGCCCTTCTGGCAATGTATACAATATGAGAGCTAGGCATGCCTTCCAACTGTCTCATCACAAAGTTATAAGAAATCGAAGTTAATAAACAGGAAGCAACATATAAAAACATTGAGTCAAAGAGATAACACACAAATCTGAAATTTCCATTGCTGCCAAAATCCCAATCTGTAAATGGGTCTTTCACGGTCACCAAAGTAGGGAGCCCATGAGCCCATGTTCTCAGGCCTGCCTTCCTCCTGACTTCAGTTCAGCATTCTCTGATGTGGTGCTTCAGTTGTCACTCCTCCTTGGAGCCTCTGTCACCTCTAATCTTCCCAGCACTCCAGTAAGCATGCTGTTATTTCTGGACCACCCTCAGCAGTATACCTAATTTCCCATGGTACCTAGAAATCTACTTTCCATGTCTCAAAGAATTAATGGAAGACAAAGAATTCATGGAGAGACCTGGGGTTTGCCTTGCACAATGCCATCTTTGCAGCTCTGCAATCCCACATCTTCTCCTGCCATGTGTGTTTGTATGAAGCACTTTCTGGAAAATCCATTTGAGAATCCACGAGAATCTCTGCACAGTCAGATAATTCCCCTCCCACACCCTTCTGGCCATGATGCTCTTTATATCAAAGCACCTACAAGCTGGAAGGTAGGGTCATCCTATGGTGTATCTTTTTTATTGGACCCAAGCATACATTGGGTTTCCCCAGCTGGCCCCTAAGTCTGAGGGTCAGTTCTTAGTCCTATCGTTTCTTGTGTCTCCCTGACTTTTAGTAGTAGGTGCTCCTCTAATCCCTGCTAATCATTGAGTGATACCAATCCAGATCAGAGAATTAGTTAATTCAGGGGAGGGATGCTTTTTGAGAGTAGATAATAGGCTGCTAGAGACTTCCAACAGCCAAAATGGTTTTTATTTTAGGTGACAGAAGTCACTTAAAGCTGAGGAGCCCTTTAATGAGGAAAACATTTTTTGAGCATCCATTAAACATAAAGTATTGTACTGTAACATTTACTGATTGCTTACCATGTGTAAGACATCATCTCATATGCTTCATATATATCCATACATATTAAACAATTTAATCCTGAAAACAACTCTAATGAGGAAGCATTATAATTATACTTCCTTGACAGATGAGGAAACTGAGGTACACAGCTGTTACGTACAGCAGCAAATGGCCTGCAGGAGACCAGGCAGATACATGACACTATTACAAAGAGCAGAGTAAGACAAAGACCACAAGAAAAAAAAACAGAGTAGAGTTCTCTCACCTGGAATTTCCATGTATGCTTTGCCTACCTGGAGAACATAACATGTCCTTCAAGACCCAACTAAAGATCTTTGCATTTTAGTATAGGCATCTCTAACCCCTGCCCCCAACAGAGCTGACTGCATCCTTCATTGCCGCCTCCTGCTGAGACATAGCATTGGCCCAGCCCCAATCACCCTACATGATGACTGCTTCCATGTCTTCCTCCCTCACTGGGCCATGAGATCTCCTGGAGGGCAGGACAGATTGTCCCTTTTCAAGGCCTTTTCAGCACCAGCCCTTGTTGATGATACAGCAGTAAAGCAGGCTTACCTGAAGGCCTCCATTCTGAAGTGACCTGTGACTTCCACTCACATTCCATTGCCCACAGCAAGCAGCATGCTTCTGGTTGCATTCCACACCTCAGACTTTGCCTGGTGAAACTCACTATGCCTGAAAAAAAAAAAAAAAAAAAAAAAAAAAACATGGGGAGGGGGACTGACAGTTGGATGAGTGACAAACAGGTGGAGGATGGCCAAGCCAAGTGGGCACATTATATTCACACCTGGGACCCCTGCAAAGAGGCACTTCAGGAAATGTAGTAAAGCCATAAGTGAGGTCTGGATGGTGTGGGCTGTGGTGAGAGCCTTTGGAACACAGAAGAAGGAACCCACGCTGAAGTATAATTCTTCTTGTTATGTTAATTCCCCACCTGACCTTGGACAGAACCCTTTCCAAAAAGAGTCCTCTTTCTCTCCACTGGAAAAATATTAGGCTACAAGCTTAAGGGTCCTCTTTCTCTCCATTGGAATAATATTAGGCTACAAGCTTACTGTCTCATAGTTCAAAGATTCCATATTCTTGACAACCATGCCAGGCACCTGCCTCATCTATGTGCCAAAAATGATATCTATCCCCTAGTTTAGGATCCTGAGGAATTTTAGCAAATTTGCCAAATAGATAGAGAAATAGAGAATTTTCCTTTCCCATCTTTAAAAGTCATCTTTTATTCTACACACAATTTTCTCCTTTTTGAATATTGAGTTCCAAGAATGAATAAGCCATATCATCTCCAAGTTTCCAGAAATGTAGATTCCATGGAGCGAGGGAAAGAAAGAATGAACCATCTTTTCCCTTTCGTCACAGGAAGCTGCAGCACATTTCTAAAGTAAGATGGGCTTCTAATTATTAAAAATAAACCCTGGCCCACAGCCTGATTTGCACATTAATGTAGCCAGCAGATGCAGACTTGCAAACATGCTCTCTGGCTCCATACTGAGACCCAGCTTCTCTGCCCACTTGTCATGCTGAGATTCTCTAAGGACAACCATTTCTGTTTGGAGAACCATGAAATCAGCTAATTGCTTTCTCAAGGAAGGGGATGGTGCCCTGGGGCTTAAGGGGGCAATGGGTCCCTAGAATCTGACAGAGGAAGTTAAGGAGAATGAAAGGAAACTTAAGATATGTAGATATGTATTAATACTCTTTTAATATTAAGTAGCAGAAACATCAAGTGATGCTGGCTAATGCAGAGGAAGTTGGTGGCGGGGGTTGTAACTGTTTTGTTTTGTTTTGTTTTGTTTTGTTTTGTTTTGTTTTGTTTTGTTTTGTTTTGTTTTGTTCATGTACCTGAAAAGTCTAGAATGTGGGAGATGACTACTAGCTTCAGGAATTACTGAATCTATGTATTTAAGCAAGCTCATCAGGAGTTTGTCTTTCTCTTTCTTAGCTCACTTTCCTCAATGTGCTCTTTTACTCTCAGGCAACCTCTTCTCAAGCTGTGACAAGATTTCATTCCTGTAGATAAATAACCCCAGTGAAGAGAAATTCTGTTTCCTACTAGTTCCCACAAAAGTCTCAGAAATAACCCTGTACAATTTAAATCACATGCTCATTCCTCAACCAATCATTGCAGCCCTGAGATAGAATACATTAACTGGTCAGATCAGAGCACACGGAAGTAGGGTTGAGGTCCACCCCACTCACATCTCATGAACTGAGAGTACTAAGAGGTAGTTCCCCAAAGAAAAAACAACTTTAAAACCTGGACTAAATATATGCACCATTCTGAGGACTCTGTGGTAGAGGTCCCTATCTAACAGGTAGATAGGGAAGTAAGACCAGAACTCAAAGTACCATTGAATGTTGTGAATTCTTTTTTCCCCTCTGTTTTACTAGGACCAGAACATGACATGGCCTGATACCTTGACGTGGTCATTAATATGAATAGAGAGCTCTAGGAGACAACCTATAGTTCTGGGTCAAGAAGTAGGAAAGGGAACTCATACTCTCAGATAGGAATGAACTGAAAAACACCATCAACAAGTAAGACCTTACTGACATTTATGGAATACCCTCACCCAACAAAAGCAACATATAACTTTTTTTTAAGTGCATATTAAATATTCACCAAGATAGATCATGATCCTGAGTCATAAAACAAGCTTTAACCAATTTAAAATAATTGAAATTATACAAATTATGTTCTCAAACTATAATGGAATTAAACTAGAAACCAATAAGAGAAAAAGAAGAGGAAAATATCTAAATGCTAACATATTAAGCAACACACTTCTAAGTAATTCATAGGTCAAAAAAGAAGTCTCAAGAAATATGAGAAAATACACGAACTGAATGAAAATAAAAATACAGCCTATCAAAATTTGCAAGTTGCATCTAAAATTAAGTGTTTAGATGAAAAATGTATAATATTAAATCCTTATATTGGTTAAAAAAGAAAGAAAAAAAAGATCTCAAATCAGTCATCCAAGTTTCTACCACAAGAAACTAGAAAAAGAAGAGTAAAACAAAACCAAAGTAAGCAGGAGAAAGAAGGCAGTAAAAGTAATGCAGAATCAATGAAACTGAAGCAGAAAGACTATAGAGAAACTTAATCAAGACAAAGGTGTTTTTTTAATAATTGAAGAAATTAAAATGTTTCTAGCAAGACTGACAGAGCAAAAAGAGAGAAGATACAAATTATTAATATCAGGAATGAAAGAGATACAGATCCTGTGGCCATTAAAAAATAATAAGGAAATACTACAAATATAATACATATAAATTCAGAAACTTAGATAAAATAGAACAATTCTTGAAAACCACAAAAAAACAAAACTCATCCAAGATGAAATGAATGAACTACCTAAATAGTCCTATAAATATTAAAGAAATTGAATCTATCTTTAAAAACCTTCCCAAAAAAAGTCATTTCCAGGCCAGATACCTTTACTGGAAAATTCTACAAAATATTTAAAGAAGAAAAAAGCATTAATTCTACACAATTTCTTTCAGAAAATAGAAGTGAAGGAAGCATAGACCCACTCATTTCATGAAGCCAGTATACCAAAAACATACAAAAATAGGAACAAACAAAAAACTGCAGACTAATATCCTTTATAAACATAAAAGCAAAATTTCTCAACAAAATAATAGCAACCAAATTTTAAAAAACATGCACACAACCAACTGGAATTTATAGCAGTAAATAAGGCTAATTCAATATTTAAAAATCAATCAATGTAATCTACTATAGTAAAATTTTAAAAGGCAAAATACATCATCATATGTAATCCAGAAAATGGATTTGACAAAAAGCAACAATTCATGATGAAAACTCTCCATAAACTTGAGATAGAAGAAAACATTCTCAATCTGATAAAGAACAAATGTAAAAAGTCTATGGCCAACATTCTACTTAATAGTAAATTGTGAATGTTTTTCTTATCAGATTGGGAGCAAGGCATGGATTAATTCTCACTGCTTCTTTTTAATATTGTACAGGAAGGCCTATCTATTTGCAATAAGCAGAGAAAATAATCAAAAGGCATGCAGATTAGAAAAGAAGAAATAAAACCTTCTATTTGTAGATGACATAGATTTCTATACAGAAAGTACCAAGGAATCTATAAAACCTTCTAAAACTAATACATGAGTTTAGCAAGATTGCAAGGCAACCCATATAATCAATCATATTGCTATATATTAGCAACGTATAATTGGAAAACAAAATTTTAAAACAATGTTGTTCACAATACCCCTCCAAAAAATGAAATACTTATATAAAATCTGTATGCTGAAAACTATACAAAATGCTTATGAAAGAAGTTAAAGAAGACCTCAATAAATGGAGAGATATACCATGTTCATGGATTGCAAGACTCACCTAGTTAAAATGTCAGTTCTTCCCAAAATGATCTACAGATTAAACACCATTCCAATAAAAATCCCAGGAGGATTTTTTTTAAATATTGACAAGTTGACTTTGAAATATATATGGACATGGAAAAGAGCTAAAATAGTCAAAACAATTTTGAAAAAAGAATTACAAAGTTGGAGCATTTACACTACCTGATTGTAAGATTTCCTACAAAGCTTCAGTAATCCAGATAGTGTGGTGTCAGCAAAAGGAGAGGCACATAGATAGCATAAGCGAGTTTCTTGAGGTGCTCAAATTGTTCTATATTCTGATTGTGGTAGTGGTTGCACAAACCTATACCGGAATTCAAAGTCATAGAACTGTACATCCTTCCAAAAGTCAATGTTACTATCTTATATTTTTAAAATAAAAAAAAAATTTAGACCTTTTAATTGAAAAATAAAATTTCCAAGGTGTTAAATCAGTTCACTGGGGAAAAGAAAATGTTTTTAACAAAATGTACTGAAACAATTGTTTATCCATATGGAAATAAATGAATTTCAACTCTATCTTCATTCCATACACAAGCGTAATTTAAGACAGATCATAGACTTAAGCATAAAAGTGAAAACAATAAAGCTTCTAGAATAAAACACAAAAGAATAGTTTTGCATTCTTAGATTAGACAAAGATTTCCTAGGACATTAAAAAGCACTAAGCATAATGAAAGCAATAGATAACTTGAACTTAAATTTTTTAAATCCCTGCTTATGAAAAGACATCATTAAGAAAATGAATAGGAAAAAAAATAGTAGAGAAGTTTTTGCCACATTCATATCTGACAAATGACTTGTGTATAATGTATAAAGAATTCCTACAAATCAACAATAAAATGACAAGCTAATTTTTTTAACTTGGCAAATAAAAGATACTTCACAGAGGAAGACATACATACAGCTGATAAGAAAGGGTACTTAACATCAGTGCAAATTTTAACTACAATGAGATACTGTTCTATGCTCACTAGAATGACTAACAATACAAAATGTGGACCCTATGCACTGTCTGGAACTCTGCTGTGTCACTGTTGGGAATTTAAAGTGGTATAACCATTTGGATATCTGTTCAGCAGCTTCTACTAAAGTTACACATGCATGTATTGCATGCTGCAACATTCCACTCCTATTTCAACAGAAATGGGTTCATATGTGCACTTAAAATGTGGAAGAGAATACTAATTGCAGTCTTAATCATAATATCAAAACTGGAAATAACTCAATTGTTTGCAACAGTAAAGTTGATAAACAAATAATGGTATGTCCATAAAATAAAATACTATTCAGCAGCCGTAAAGGAAAAAACAACCTGGATGAATCTCAAAAACATTACAGTGGGCAACGGAAGCCAGGCACGTAATAGTACATACTGGTTGAGTTTGTTCATGTCAAGTTCTAGAACACACAAAACTAAGCAAAGGTGATAGAAATCAGAACCGTGGTTGCCTGCAGGCTTGGAAGGTTGGCTACAAATGAGTCCAAGGGAACTTCCTGGAGGGATGTCAATACTTTGTATCTTATTTTGGATAATGGCTTCACAGCTGATTACAATTTTCCAAACTCATGAAATTAAACATTTAAGAGTTGTGCATTTCTATTGTACATAAATTTTTACCTCAATTTAGTTAAAGAAAAAAAAATTTACAAATGTAGCACTTGACTTTCTACAAACCACTTTCACACCCATTTCCCTATTCCCTCCATGTGATCTTCTCATCAACCCTAGGCAGTAGGAAGATCAGGATTATTGTAGGAATGAATAATCTATGAGAGAGCAGAATGAGGAAGTGATTCCCAAGGTCACACACAGAGCAAGCTCTTGCCGAGCAGGGACTAAAGCCCAGGTGTTAGGACTCCACAGCCAGTGCTCCTTATGCAATGTCTTACTTTTAAATGCCCTCTCCCTTTCTCTCAGGCATTGCAGAGATCCCCAGGGGCACAGTAAATGTCAGCTGCCTCAATTCTCACCACATTAATCTCTTTTGCATATTCAAATTCTCCCTAAGATTTCATTGAAAAGTGAATTACTGATATTACGGATGCTAAAACAAACATATATATCAAGGGGCTTCTCTTTTCCTTTGCATACCTTTGTGGTATAATTTGGGAGATATTAGAGATACTGCCCTCTCCAGCTGCCCCATGCTAATACTCCACCCTCAGCCACACTCAAAGTGAATTTTTCGTCCTGCCTTTAAATCTCAGTCTCATTCATCATCACCAATTTTCACTCTGGGCCAAAAACAGTTATATCTGTTTGAAACAGTGCAGGCTCCAAGCACCAGCTATTATACCAGAGTACATAGAACAGAAAAGACAGGCTGGAGAGGAAGGACTTTAACCACAGTGTGATGTCAGCCTAGTCATTCCCCCTCTCCGAGACTCAGTTTTCCCATCTTTCATACGAAGGAACTGGACCAGATAAGCTTTAACTGAGTATACTGTAAGAGGATCACCAATGATACTGAAGCTATGAATATACAGACTACGAAGAATTAGGCTTCGATTCTTATATAGTCCCAACAGCAGACTTAAAGCCAGAAGAACTTTGATTTCTTGAAGTTGATAACTGAATGATTCTCCCAATAGAGATCCCCATTTGTATATTAATTTCATCCAAAGACATCTTCCACTCATCAACCATCCCCTCATTGGGCCTCAAAACAGATGCAATCCCCAGATGCTTAAATCAAACTACCTTGACCGCCACATGACCAGGCCTTTACTACAGACAATAGTAAAGAGCTGGAGGGACAGTATTCATCTTCTTCTGAAACCTCCCATGTGAGTATTATCAGCCGAGATATCCCCAAGTGAAGATTCTCTTTCCAGAGAAAAGTTGCAAGTCATTGAGCTGAAGGGGACTCACCTCCATGCAGAGACGTGACCAAGACCTCCAGGATTAATCATCTTCCATTCCCTGTTCAAGGAGACTTTAAAGGACCCGACAACCTCTCTGTATTACTTCTGGGCTAAGAAATTGTATTGTGAAGGCTTGGGCTTCAGTCCTGGATCCATTAATAACTGACAATACAACTCTGAACAAGACCCCTCTCCTTTAGGGACTTGTCGCCTCACCGTAAAATGGAGTTAATGGCCCCTGACGACCTCCTGGATTGTTGAGAAGATCTAATGAAGCAAAAGGTAAGAACATGCCTTGAACAGAATAAACTCTCTACCACCATTGGGGGCTCTCATCTTCTGGGAGACGGAAGCCAGGGGCATCCTCTAGCCCCTGTGGTGCAGACCAACCTTTTTTCCCCATGACTGTGCAGTGCCACTCGGACCACTAGATGGCGGTAGCTGTCACTTGCCAATTCTGGAAAAAATGGTGTGGGAGAGCCAGGGGCCCGCCTGCTTTACAAAAACTAGGCCAAAGCCAGCTCGTTACATCACTTCTGATCCAAGCAGCCAGTTCAGTCTGGATTTTTCCTTATTGCAGGCGACAATGCAAAAAACTTCCAGGCTTCTGCGCATTTCAATGCTAATTGTTCGGCCTGAAACCAGTCTTTAACTCCCAGGGATTGCTCCTGCAGGCTCTGTCCCATCTTCCCTGGGTACAGGCTTCTCTACCTAGGTTCTCCTACTGCCATCTCCGGCTGCCCCATGCTAATACCCCACCCTCAGCCACACTCGAAGTGAATTTCTCATCCTGTCTTTAAATCTCAATCTCATTCATCAGGCACTTATTGATATCTACTTGTGTGCAGAGGCCTGCACCAGGGGCCATGCTGGGGTAAGTGGGACCCAGACCCTGCCCTCAAGGGAAAGAAGGGGGCTACAGACTACATGAGTTCACATCCGCCTCTGCTTCTCACTTGCTATGCGTGATTTAAACCAGTCACTCAAGTTTTCTTCAATTTTCTTCATTTTAAAATGGGGTTAATAATAGGCTTGTTTTGTTTATTAAATGAGTTCATACTGGCCAGTTCTTTGAGTTGGAAGGGGGTCTAGCGCTTCATAAGCAATAATCATTTATTGAGCACCTACTAGGGGCAGGTACATTATCTGATTTAATAGCCATATTAATGGCTCAGAAAAATTAAGCCATTTGCACAAGGTTGTTCAGTGAATCAAAAGTAAAGTCAGCATTTGAACCTGGTCTGTCTGACTCCAGGAGCACTGCCTTCAGCTGTTCTTACAGAAAGTCAGCAGCTAAACAAATGTTTCGAGGGACCTGCAGACGACACTACCAGTTCCAGTCCCAGCAGCACAGCTGCAAATTGGGCATCCTAAACCTGCCATTCAGGTCTCAGTGATCTTGTCCTGGATTTAGCTCTAGCACTAACTGGGGCTCTGTGATCTGGGAAAAGACCCCTCCTTGGGACTCAATTTATTCACCTATAAAACAAGGCAGCTTGATAGATCAGTATTTTCCAAACATGTCTACTTGTCAAAATCAAGTGTGGTCTTTCTTGAAAGTATGAAATTTTGGACTCCATTTCAGATCTGCTAAAATAGAATCTCCAGAGGAAGGGTCTGCAGATCTATTTTTGACAAATGATTCAGAGGATTCTTAGGATCAGGAAAGTTAGGAAAGCATCCTAGTCCCAGATGATCTTAGCAATTCTCCCAGCTCCTACCATCACTCAGTCCGGCTCTTGATCTGCCTCCCTACAGACCCATCATGAACACTGCAGTCCCTCTCCCTATGCCCCAGGATTTGAGCCCCCTGAGCAGTTCCCCACCCTGCATGGATTTGAAACCTCCTTCCTCTCTGTAAGGCACTTAGGTTCTTAAGGGAGCTAAAGCTATTTAAATAATGAATGGAATTTACAGTAGCAATTGGAATTCACTTAAGCAATAGAAACAACGATTGCAGTAAAGTCTCCTTAAAAATCTTTCCAACGGGTTAGAAGGAAGATAAAGTAACTTCTCCCTTGACTTTCCTAACATGTAAATCAGGATATTTTGACGAGACTCAATTCTAAATCTCTGCAATGTCCATTTGAAAGGTGTAATGTTCACTGTCAGAATACCAGTGCCCTGCTGCCCCAGTCTGATACACCCAGAAGCCGTAGGTCGAACCACATTTCAGGCCAAGGGCAGCTCCTGTGTCCTGGTGGGGAGACTTGTGAAAAAAAAATGGAAAAGAAGCCAGCCCCAGCTCCATTCTACCAGCTCATACTATAAATCCTCTCGATCCTTGTTCTTCCTGTTTGCAGAGTCATCAAATGGCACAACTGCACAATATTGGCTGCCCATTTTCCCCTCTTTCTGTTGCAGTCTCTCAGTTCTTGCAAGCAGTTGATCTCACTAACCTGAAACAGACCTGAAATTCTCACTGTTAGGCCATGCCCTTGGGCTAAGGGAATGTTTTCTGGAAGAGTATGTACCTTGAGCTGAGTTTTGGAAGACTGATGTATTAGTCAGCTCCTGCCATAATAATGCCACATAACAAAGCACCCCAGTACTCGGTGCTTATAACATTATTATTCCCACTCATACATATATGGGTTAGCTGGGGCAGCTCTGCTGATCTCGCCTGAGCTTGACTGAGTTTGGCTCTGGCCTTGAGTTTGATCCAGGTACCCCAGGTATCTCTCAGTTCTTCTCAGACCCACTGGGCTAGCCAAGACATGTTCTCATTGTGATGGAAGAAGCCCAAGAGGGCAAGCTCACCACTCAAGTTTATTTCAAGCTGCTGCTGACTTCACAGCTGCTCATATCCCATTGACCAGAGCAAAGGGCAATGACATACAATCTGCCCAATGTGAGGCCAAAGCAAATCACAGGACACAGAAAAGGCATGGGAAGGTTAAAATGGAAAGAAAGTCAAGCACTTGGGGCCACTCCCTGCAGGTGGGATGACACAGGGGAGGAATGCTAGGGAAGCTGGAGCTGGGCTTCATTTGGAATTCACTTAAGCAATAGAAACACAGTGGCAGTAATGTCACACCAGGTTGTTTGCATTCAACAAATCACAATTTCAGCAAAAGATCAGACCGAGAAGAGATACTGAGTGACCACTTGTCTCAGCCCCTCAGCTTCCTGATAGACTGATAGGGTAAAGGGGCTCATGGAAGGTCATTAGACAAGTAAGAGGCAGAAAGAGGAATATTATCTGTGCTTAAGCAATTTTCCCATCTGAGATGGGAACAGTCAGGGAATTAAAATTTCATTTATTTGACAAACACTTATTTAACATCCACTCTGTGCTGAGCAGTCTTCTGGATGTTAAGAATATAGAAGTGAACAAAGCACTTCTCATAAAGTTTCCATTCTGCTTGGGGTAGAAACAGACTAAATAAACAAGGAAATCTATTGCATGGGAAAAAATACACATGGTTTAGTGCCAAAGTTAGGATTGTAGGGAGAGGAAGTTAGCGTCATTAACTGGGTGGTGAAGGAAGATAAGAGGACATTTGAAATGGAAGTTGAAGGAAGTGAGGGAAGGAGCCATGAAGCTATCCGGCCATTTGCAGCAGGGAGAACTTCAAGTAGGTCAGGAACAAGCTTGGCATGGACTGGCGTGAGCAAGGGGGAAGTAGTGGAAGAAAGGTCAGCAGGACGGCAGGGGAGGGCCGGGTCATAAAGAGCCTTGGGCGCCATAGAAGGGCTAGGAGTTTTGATTAAAATGAGATGGAAAATATTGGAGAACTTTGAGCCAAGGAGACACATGAATGGACTTTGGTTTTAAAAGATCCTTTTGACTGCTGTGTTGCGAATAGATTGTAGGGGCTAAGAGTTTGGAAGCTGAGAGCTTGATTAGGTGGTATAAACCGAAAAAAAAAAAAAAGTGATGTCAATCAATTTAAAGGCTGATTTTACCCAAGTTGAGGGCATGCCTGGGATAAAGAGACACAAGCCACAATAGGATCTGTGGCTCACACTTCTTCCAAGGAGGATTTTAAGGTCTTCAATATTTAACAGGGAAAAGATGGGCAAGCAGGGAAAGGAGCGAAAAAAATAGAGGGAGGATATTGTTACATTTTTATGAGGCTTTGATTAGCATTTACTGAATCCACATGTTGTATATGAAAAGGAGGGGGCAGTGGAACAGTCAATTATGTATTCGTCTCGCGCTCAGTAAATCTGCACTTTACATAAGATACAGTAAATACAGAGTACAGAAAGAAGTCGAATATAAATTCATCTCGGGGTAGGCGGTGGAAGGGAGGGGTACAATTTCTAGTCTCCTCTTGTCCTGAACCATAAAGATAAGCCGTTAATTTACATTGTCAGGGTGAGGGAGGCCCCCTGGGCAGAACGTGGCCTTCTATCTAGTAGCTATCTATTTAGGAACAAAAGGAAAGGCAAGTTTTTGGCATGACTTGGTTTCCAGACTTAACTTTTCCCTTGACATGCTGAGTTGGGGGTCCTAAGATTTTATTTTTCCTTTCACAGTGGCAATTGCTGTAATCCAAGCTAGGGATGGTGATGGTGGCTGGGACCCAGGGGTTGGCATTCCAGGTGGTAAGAAAGGGTCAGATTTAGGATTTTGGATGGTAAAGCTGAGCAGATTCCCTGATGAATTTAATTAACGTGGTGTTAGAGTTTGAGGTCAGAAATTACTCTAAGATTTCCGTCTTGATTGACTGAATAGATGTATTACCATTTTCTGAGCTGGGGAAGCTGCAGAAGGAGAGATTTGGGTGGGCAAATCGAAATGCATGTGTAAGGGGCCGTTGCCTCCCCATACTTTCCCCATTTCCCAGGGCGGGTTGAAGGGTTTCTGTAGCCAAATATAGCTACAATGGTGCTTTGCTCTGCTACATGTAGTAACTTTCAGTAAATACTTGATCATAGGTTGGGATCCACAGGAAGCAGACCCTGAGATGAAGTTTAGCAGGCATGAGGTTCATTAGGGAGTTGATCTTGGGGTCAGCACCAGTGGAATGAAAGGGAGGAGGCAGATTGGGAAGAGGGAGACAGTGAACTGCAATGTATTGTCAGGGAAGCATGGGGAGTTCTGAAGGTAAGGTGAGCCTTCAGAACTGCCTGAGTTGGGGCAGAAGGCTGAGAAAGACGGCTACTGACCACCAGGGGCAAAGCCATTCTTTTATCAGAGGCAATCCTCAAAGGAGAGACAGGGGAAATGTAGAAGTAGATCTAGGTGGCATATCACAATGCCTACCACATCCCCTCATGCCAGACACAAAGAAGCAGGTTGATTTCTTTATGTCCATCTCTTCTCCTGCACTAATAATTCATGGCTGATCAGCAAATGGGAAACCCATCTGAGTTCACAAGCTTTCCAACCAGAGGTGAGGCAGGATAAGAACATCTTAACATTGGAAATAAACACAAAGGGAATTCCCGGTGGAAAAATGCCACTAATGGAACTATGGACTGTGAGTGCAGTGCAGCTGTTGGCCAGACTCAAAGGGCAGACCCAGGTAACTCCTGGATCTCCTAACCCTGGTAACTCCTAGTCAAACTACTCACCCTCATCTTTGGAACTGTGTTTAAAACATCAGTCTTCAATACATACAAAGTTGAGGAGGTTGGATAAAAACAGTGAACCAGGGCAAAATCTCCATATTCCCCTTCTTATCCTAAACTCTTAGAAAAAAAGAAATAATAACAATAATAAACATTGATGATAATATAAATAAAATGCAATATAACCAATACAGCATATAAATAAGAATATAACATATAATAATAAAAATCCATAGCAGTATGGAAAAAAAGAAGGGTACCCAGTGGATGAAAAAGTTAGGAATGGCTGAAAGGAGAAAGGCAGATGGAGAAGACTGAAGAAGGAAACCACATCCCAACAGCACAAAGGAGAGACCTGCTACAAGAAATGGAGGAACACCAGCTTCCAAGGCAGCAGGAGCACCCAAGGATGATTGATGGGATGCTTGGTTGGGGTTCTGAAGAAAATCAACCTCATGAAAGAAAAGTCCCAAATTTAACCATCCGAAGAACTAAACTGGACATGAAGAACTAAATTGAACAAACTGAAGAACTAAATGCCCATGGAAAGAATTAACAGAATCAATAGGAAAATACTTTATAAAAATCTAATTAGTATTCTCATGCAAGGGAATGTGGCACACATACAAAATTATCAGATGAATATCTTGGAAATTATAAACTCGAGTATTGAAACTTAAAAAAATCAACATATGAGCCAAATATCAAAATAGGTAAAAACTAAGAGAAAATTACTAAAGTGGAAGATTCAACCAAGGACTTTTCCCAGAAACAGAACACAGAAGGAAACATGGAAGTTAAGAAAAAACTAAAGAGAAATGGAGAATGAATCAAACAGTACAAAAATCCATTTAATCAGAAAATGGGAATAAGAGGAATGAAGGAGGAGAAATAAGAGGCAGAGAGAGAAAAAAAGATGGAAGTCTTTAGATTGAAAAAAAGATAGAAGTCTTTAGATTGAAAAAAAGATAGAAGTCTTTAGATTGAAAGGGCCTATCAACTGCTGAGTAAGTTAAATAAAAAGACTCACACTCAAACATTTTTGGAAAAATTTACAAGGAAAAAGAGAAAATTTCTCCAAGAAACAAAACAGATTAATCAACTTTGGCTGCCATAGCAAAATATCACAGACTGGGGAGTTTAAACAACAGAAATTTACATCCTCACAGTTCTGGAGGACGGGGAAGAAAGAGAGTAATAGGAGAAAGTGAGCAGGAAAGAAATAGAAGTTTTCAATATTTTTTGATGTTAGGATCTAGGAAATGATTGACTCTAAATATTAATATGTCTCTTAAAATGCTTCAATGCATCAATCTAGGGTTAGCAATATAAAATAAGATGAATAATTTCAAACCATTATAGAAGAAAAAATGAAAAGTTATTCAAATGGAAAATCTTATATTTAGAAACTAACATCCAGATACATGCTGCTTGTAAAATACACCTAAAGCAAAATGAGACAGCGAGGTGAAAAATAAAATAATGAAAATAGCTATGTTGTACAAATTCTAAGAAAAAGAAAGCCAAGTTGTGATAATATCAAAAAAATAGAACTCATGGCAAAGAACAATGAAAGGAAGTAGGGGGATGGAGTATCCCTGTTGATAAAATATAACATCAATAGAGAAGATACCTCAGCCATAAACTTTTATGCACCCAATAACTTAGCTTCAATACAGAAAGCAAAAACTGAATAATATACAAGGAGAAAGTGTTAATCTACAATCATGGTAAGAGACCTTGCTATTCAGCTCTCAGAAATCACCAGATCAAGTAGCTGTGGATCAGAGACAGTTAGAGAGGATCTGAAGAACATACACATTATAATTTTAAAGTGAGAACATCGATGTTAAGAAAAAGAGACTTCATTATCTTCAGTCATACATGAAACATTTTTAAAAAATTATTCACAA